TAATTTCCTGTTTATGGCAAGTTCCTGATTTTCCAAAAGACCAAATTAAAGAGAGGCCACAGGAAGAAAACGTTTACTTCTTTCACTATCAATCTTGCATCTTTAAAGTTCTGCGTCCAAGTTAGTGGATCGAATTGTGTATTATTTTTGGTTTCCTGTGTCTGTCTCACTAAAAACCACAAACCTCAGCTAATGCAGATTTAATTTCCCCAGGATGTCGCTGAACAGCTAAAGAAAGGGATATGCATGATGGGAAATGATTTTGTTTTGTTTTCCAGTAAACACAATGTTGTTTCGATTGCCCCTTTTGAGACTTCACCTATCTCCTGAAGGATTTTAGCCTGGATGTCTGGAAACTTGATCAGGTATAAAAGGCTCCACTGCAAACCGGTGATGATAGTGTCAAAACCTACGAGGAAAAAAAGGCATCGGTTATGATCAAAATCTGTAAACAGCCTCAAGACACATGTCACAATTAGCAAGTGGGCAAACAAACTGGTAGAAGATGTGATGTGTGGTGAAAAACCACAACATTCTCAGGCTAAAAGAATGAAAATGAGCAGTTTGAGCTGCTCAATGAGCTCCTCATGGGTGTTTGTTAAACACTCTTTAATGAACTAGAACTACCAAGATGCATAAACTGAAACAAGTATGAATAGAATAAGCCAAAAGCAGACAAAAAAAACATACATTTAAAGCAAATTCTCAGAAGAACTCTAGGTCTGATCAGTCTGAAGTGCCTCCCCTGTGACAACAACACAGAGCCAAGAAAAACATCTTGTTCTGGAAGTAAATGCATGCTTTTAACAAGCAAAGCTATTAGCGCAATAACAACCCAGGGAGGAGGACTGCAGCCTTGGAAGGCATTCAGATTATGTCTCAAAGTTCTATGAAACATGTCGACACAGTTTATGAATTATTATTACCTAATGTAATCTGCATTCATGCTCCTAGATCCATTCGCACATGCTCATAATTCAGGATATGTAGAGAGAAAACCATTTTTCTGTTCTACTTCTAAAAGTACAATGATGTGCACATTCATTCTCTTGACTCTGGGTCTCTTACCGGCTCCGAAGATGTCAATGACACTGTGGATGATCTGTGAGTTGCTGAGCATGGCTGTTTCCTCGTCCTCCTGCCTGTCCTCACACATTGCTATTAGGGCATCAGTAATGTCCCGGATACAGTTCTGTACAAAAACATAGAGAATGAGACTTGCAAAATGTTTAAAATGTGGAAAAATAAACTGTGGACCTATACTCATTTTTATATCACATCTATATCCATCTTGTTCCTGGCAATGCACAGTATGCATCTGTGCTTTCCTCAAAGCTGTTTACATCAAATTCAACTATGCGTGTGAATATTTTAGTTTGTATAAACTGAAACTCACTTCACAGGAACAGAGTATACTTTGGATGAAATTGTTACTGAGTTACTGACCACAATGTGTAAAAAATACCATTATAGCATACTGTTCAAAAGTTTGTTGTCAATAAATTAATACTTTTATTCAGCAGTAAAGTACATTGTTGCAAAAAATATTTTAAATAGATATGTTTTTTAATGATTTTAATGCATTTTTTAATAAATAATGAAAATTATTTATTTAAAAAACATTAAAGATTCGACCAACCCCAAATATTTGAACAGTAGTATACTTATATTATTAATTCATTATATTATAAAAATATGCACAGTGTGTGTGTATATATATATATATATATACTTTATATATTAAACACTACCAGTCAAAAGTTTTTGAACAGTACGATTTCTAATGTTTTTTAAGGAATTCTCTTCTGCTCACCAAGCCTGCATTTAT